TCGCTCCCATTCAATATCATTTGTGGTAGGCGTACCACTCGCTCCCATTTCAATATGATTTGTGGTAGGCGTACCACTCGCTCCCTTTACTTTCAACACAATACACAATAAAATCCTGGCAAGGGAACAATCAAATTAATACTCTTTCCCGGCAAGGGAACTATAACAACAAGTCAAACATCCCGACAAGGGAGAGTCAGCTATAACCAATCCTATTCAACTTTTTTCTGGCACAACTAATACCAATATTCAATCACAACGTTCATAGGATCAGACAAGGGTACACAATTATCAAATTAAGACTCACGATCATACTTGACTCCGACGCATGGATACTCGCCACCATGCCCATACGTCGTATCCAACACAAACAAGTAGCAATTATGACCCAACTCCTAATCCCTCAAGCTAGGGTTAAACCAAACACTTACCTCGATGCCTTGAATTCCACTCAAACCTCAACTATCGCTTTACCCCGCGATTCCACCTCCAATCCGCTCGAATCTAGTCACAAATTGCTCAATTACTTTAATAAACACTAAATGAATCAATTTGAATGCATAAAAATGAAGTTCCCAAGCATTTCCCCAAAAATTCCAAAATCGCCCCCGGGCCCACGTGGTCAAAACCCGAAGTTCGAACCGAAACCCGGTTACATGTAATTTGTTTTGAAATCGGACCTCAAATTGAGGTCCACATCCCCAATTTATAGAAAACCTAGGTTCTACCCTAAACCCCCAATTTCTCCCATGAAAATCATTGATTTTAAGTTGAAAACACGTTAAATGATGCTAATGATTGAAAGAGTTAAGTAAAAATCGACTTACAAATGGTTTGGGATGAAACTTGTTCTTGAAAAATCGCCTAAGGAGTTGTATTTTGAAAGTGGGGTGAAAAATGACTTAAAATTCGACTAAGTATGAAATTGCTGGGTCTCTGATGTCGCATTTGCGAACTGGGGTTCGCAATTGCGAACCTCGACCAAATTATGGGAATTGCGACCTCTGCTTCGCATTTGCGAAGCCAGGCCTTACAGGAGACCTTCGCATTTGCAAACTTGGTCTCGCATTTGCGAAACTTGGAACTTCGCATTTGCGAAGAATATACTCGCATTTGCGATCATAGTCAGGCCTGGGCTGGTTTCGCATTGGCGAACCAGCCTTCGCATTTGCAAGTTCGCATTTGCGAATGCGAAGCCTGCAGGCCTGTTCATACCAGATTTTTCCTAAGTTAAAAATGCACTCCGACGCCTATCCAAAACTCACCCGAGCCTTCGGGGCTCCAAACCAAATATACACACAACCTCAAAAACATCCTACGGACTTATCCGCGCGATCAAATCGCCAAAATAACATCATATACATCGAATTAAACCTCAAAATTCATAATTTCCTCCAAGTTTTCTTAAAACATCAAATTTCCATTTTAAGCCTGAAACACGTCATACGACGTCCAATTTCAACCAAACTTTACAGAAAGCGCTTAAACCATATATAAGACTTGTACCGCGCGCCGGAACCAAAATACGGGCCCGATACCACAGTCTTTTAATCAAATTTCATTTTTATTTTCCTTAATCATTTCCAGAAAACAATTTCACACAAAAATTCATTTCTCGGGCTTGGGACCTCGGAATTCGATTCCGGGCATGCGCCCAAGTCCCATATTGTTTTACGGACCCTCGGGGATCGTCAAATACGGATCCGGGTCCGTTTGTCCAAAATGTTAACCGAAGTCAAATTTAATCAATTTAATGTCAAAAATTTAGCATTTTTCTCACAGGATTCATATTTAAGCTTTCCGGCTACACGCCCGGACTGCGCACGCAAATCGAGGCAACCCTAAATGAGGTTTTCAAGGCCTCGAAAGTACAGAATAGGTAAGAAAACAGGTGATGACTCTTTGGGTCGTCACATTAAATTACTGTGAAAATAGAAAATTTCAGGTAAGAAGGTTTTCCCCTTTTAATTAGTTTTATTTGTGGGAATTTAAATTAATTAAAATTCCAAAACAAATACGAAATACCGAGTAAAACTAAAAGGAAAAGCTTTTAGCAGCCACGTCTTCCACCTTTCTTCTTTCTTGTTCCCATAACAAAAGCTTTTAGCAGTCACACATAACAAAACGTTCTTTTTTCTTCAATTTATATTTTAAAAAATATATAACAGGTTTAACACAAAATCTTGTTTCTCTTTCAATAATAAATAAATAATAAAGGATAGTCCGGTGTACAAGGTATTTTGGGGTGAAATTTAAATATAGGCAGATTTACAAGTGGTAATTCAAAAATAGCCACAGTTTCAAAGGTAATCGAAATTTAGCCACATTTTGTGTAAAGATAAATCTGAACGCAAAACATTGTTAAAAATCCGGAAAATATTCCAGCATAATATACGAGAGTTCGAATTTTTTACATGTGAACTTCCAGCATAATATGCTGGAAGTTCATAAACAGGTGCTCCATTCTCTAGTATATTATTCTGGAACTTTCTGTATACTGGAGTTCCATCATAATATGCTGGAAGTTCATACACACATGGACGAAAAGCTTTTAGCAGCCATATATCTTCCACCTTTCTTCTTTCTTGTTCCCATAACAAAAGCTTTTAGCAGGCACACATAACAAAACGTTCTTTTTTCTTCAATTTATATTTTACAAAAATATAACAGGTTTAACACAAAATCTTGTTTCTCTTTCAATAATAAAGGATAGTTTGGTGTACAAGGTATTTTGGGGTGAAATTTAAATATAGCCAAATTTATAAGTGGTAATTCAAAAATAGCCACAGTTTTAAAAGTAATCGAAATTTAGCCACATTTCGTGTAACGATAACATTGTTAAAAATCCGGAAAATATTCCAGCATAATATATGGGAGTTCGAATTTTTTACATGTGAACTTCCAGCATAATATGTTGGAAGTTCATACACAGGTGCTCCATTCTTTAGTATATTATTCTGGAACTTTTCGTATGCTGGAGTTCCATCATAATATGCTGAAAGTTGATACACACAGAACCGAAAAGCTTTTAGCAGCCACATGTCTTCCACCTTTCTTCTTTCTTGTTCCCATAACAAAACCTTTTAGCGGTCACACATAACAAACGTTCTTTTTTCTTCAATTAATATTTTGCAAAAATATAACAGGTTTAACACAAAATCTTGTTTCTCTTTCAATAATAAATAAATAATAAAGGATAGCTCGGTGTACAAGGTATTTTGGGGTGAAATTTAAATATAGCCAAATTTATAAGTGGTAATTCAAAAATAGCTACAATTTCAAAAGTAATCAAAATTTAGCCACATTTCCTGTAAAGATAAATCTGAACTAAAACATTGTTAAAAATTTGGAAAATATTCCAGCATAATATACGAGAGTTCGAATTTTTTACATGTGAACTTCCAGTATAATATGCTGGAAATTCATACAGGTGCTCCATTCTCTAGTATATTATTCTGGAACTTTCCGTATACTGAAGTTCCATCATAATATGCTGGAAGTTCATACACACAGGGGCGAATTTACGCTTACCGAAGCGGTGTTCATCAAATTTTTTTACTAAATATATGTATTAATCTGTACGAAAACGGATAATTAGGAAAAAATGACTCCACTTAATATAAATTGTGTCTTGGTGTGTTGGTAATGTGTTTGATTTTTCTCTAAGGGTGTGTTTGGTATGAAGGAAAATATTTTCCGGAAAATATTTTCCAATTTCCCATGTTTGATTGGCTTAATATTTTGGAAAACATTTTCCTCCAATTGGAGGAAAATGTTTTCCTTATCAAAAGAAGGGGAACATTTTCCAAAACTCTTTCTCAATCTTCTTCACCCTATTCTCCACCCTCACCAACCCACCCCACACCCCCACACCCACCCCACACCTACCCACCTCATCCCCTCTCTCCAAAAAGGCTTTTTTTTTTCCAAATTTAAGTTTTTTTTTTCCGTCACCACCCACCCCACAATTTTTTTTTTTTGTAATTTTTAAATTTCTGTTTTTTCGTTTTTCTACACCACCTACCTCCACTCCCCTGCACATTTTTTTTATTTTTTTTTGCAGTTTCAAATTTCTATTTTTTCGTTTTTCTGCACACCCCTGCCCCTCCCCTCTCCCCCGGATTTTTTATATTTGTTTTTTCATCTTTCGGTTTACAAGTTCCAAAGTTATGAGTTCGGAGGTTTATGTGTTTGGAAGTATACGGGTTTAGAAATTATAAAATTTACGAGTTCGAAAGTTCGCGGTTCCGAAATTTTAGCGGTTCAGAAGTTTATAAAATTTGTGGGTTCGGAAGGTTGCTGGTTCGAAAGTTTATGGCTTCATGTTTATTGTATCTAAATTATTTATGAATACTCTTGAGAAGTTATGTTCCTTAATTTGCGCACCAAACACCGAAAAATGAGTAAGATTACTACTTATTTTTCAAGCACGGAAAATATTTTCCGTTATACTAAACACACCCTAAGAGGTAAAAGGTTCAAACCTCAACTAGCACATTTTTCTTTTGCAAATATTTGAGAGAGCCTTTGTAGTTAAAAATTGTGATGAAGTAGAATTGAACTCAGAACCTTTTCTAACGTAAAGACTCAACAAAATCAATAGACTAAGACTATTTCTTGTCTAAAAGTATAATCAAAGTTATATTCCAGTTCTTTTATAAAATATGGCATCGCTTATAAAAATTCCTGCATATGCCCCTGCATATACATGTGCACCAGTCTTTAGTATATTATGTTGGAACTTTCCGTATTGCAGCAAAATAATAGCTATTTTTCAATGACTTTGCACATGTTGGCTATTTGTCAATTACCAATCCAAAAATTAGCTAGCCCGTACTATTTTCACGATATTTTGTGTCCATATAGAGTTCGAAATCAAGTGTCTACTTTTATGGCTCGAACTCGTGACAAAAATATAAGTGTGCCGAACTTTGAGGTCATTCTAAGTGTAGCCCTCCAATTTATCCCATATTACCCTCAAGGTTTCAAATAATTTACTAAGGAAAACAAATCCAAATTTAATTTGTCACCTTTCCTATAATTTGCTACTCTTCTTTCATGGCTAAACACTCCAACGAAAAGCTACACATCTCAGAAAAAAGAACTATTCTTTCTTGCTTGTTTTTCAAGATTTCTACCTCATAAAACTGCTTAACAAACAAGCTGTTTCACACAACAACGTTCCTGTACAAAAGTTGGACATTGAAAAAAAAAAAGGTGAAGGATTGTACGGTAATTCCTCTGCAAATACCAAAACTAAAGAAGGGTTAGTTTTAAAGAAGAGAGAAGAGCTATTAAACATGGAGTCAGAGTATAAAAACAGTACTACTTCTGGATTGTTAAGGTTTAGTTCAGCTCCTAGTTATTTTCTTGCAAATTTTACTGATAAAGTTGTCAAGAATGGGAATTATAAGAATGGGTTAAGTTCAAAATTGAATCTTGGTAGTAGTCTTGGTTTGAATAATTCACAGCTGCCACCTCCATATCCAAGGCATAATTCAATGGAAAAAGGGTATAAGGTTGTGAGTTCAATGGAAATGGATCATCAAAGGCAAAATAAATTGGGATCAAATCTTATGAGACAAAACAGTTCCCCTGCTGGCTTATTCTCTCACCTCAGTTCTCAAAATGGTACTGTTTGCTTATTTTATTTATTTATTTATTGATGCATTCATTTCTTTCTTCTTTTGGAAAGTCACTTTTAGATTTGTATTGTACTTTTGTGAGAAGTTGGTGAGTTGAAAACATATCCCTTTGCTTAAATGAATACTAATATTCAATAGGGGTAATTTGACCCTTTATATATACTCCAATTGGGTTGTTTTATTTCACATTTCTATGTGAAAAGATTTAGTAGCAGAAGAATGTACTTGAAAGGGAGGAAGCTTGAATTGTAGATGTAGATTCTTATTTTCCTTTTTTGAAGGAGCAAATAACCAAAGGGCTAAGTTGTATGAGTTGATATATGTATATATTTTCCTAATTGTATAGTTAGGGCAGGCTGCTTCCATCACACTCTTTGGAGTGCGGCCCTTCCCTGGACCCTGTATGAATACGGGATGCCTTGTGCATCGGCTGCCCTTTTATGTTCTTTTCCTAATCGTCGTTGTCAACTAGTTAAATGTTTTACCAGCAATTTAATTTGCAGGTTATGTTGTTGGAGGTTATAAAATGGTAAATGGTGCCAATGGAGATACAGTTTCACCTTCTTCCTTGGGGATGTTGTCTCGAATCAACGAGGTCGAGAATGAGAGTAGCAGCATAACCACTAGCCTTGATGATGACAAGTCTGGAAATGGAAACTCAGAAACTCAATATTACAATTCTGGATTACCATTTGCCTCTTGGAGTGAGGCCTCACATTTTCAGGAGTCCTTCACTGGCCACAAAAGGGAGATGCTGGATAATGAAGAGAAGTTGTTTGCTAATTCTCAGGTATAGCTTTTCTTTAGCAGCTATAAGTCAAGTGGAGATCCTCTATTTTTCACGAATCCAGTTCTCGATAGTAAATGAAAAGAGCGACAGGGCTAAGGTATAATTTGGCATCTAAGCATTAGGATTATCTCGATTTTGGATTGAATTTAACTAACGACCATTACTTTCGTGATTACGAATATCACTTTTTGTACTTGAAGTTATCTGCTAAGTAATCTGATAGTGTTAAAAATCTTTTACGCGGTCATTTTATAGAAGTTAAAGCACTGTTGAATTTGACATTCTTGTATGCACCAGGTTGGACAACTTGGAAATCAGCCTCCAATTTTGTCACACCACTTGAGTTTACCAAAGACACCAGCTGAAATAGCTGCAATGGAGAAGTTATTGCAACTGCAAGGGACCGTTCCGTGTAAAATCCGCGCCAAACGTGGTTTTGCTACTCATCCACGGAGCATTGCAGAGAGGGTAGGACTTTTTTAAATCTAATGAAGATCTTCATTGTTGTCCAAGTAAATATAAGGCAGTTTCTTTGATTGAAATAGATTATGAGTCTAGATGTGAATAAATCTCGTATCGTTGCAACTTAAAAAATGAGCAGCTTAGTGCATGAAGCATCCCGCGCCGCACCCAAGTGTTGTGATGTAGGCAACCTACCCTGATTGATTCCACAGCTCAAACCTGTGACCTATAGGTCACACATAGACAACTTTACTGTTGCTCCAAGGCTCCCATTTATCGTTGCAACTTGTTTAGTCTAAATTCTTGAATGAGACTATATGGTGGTATTGTTCAGGTAAGAAGAACTCGAATTAGTGAAAGAATGAGGAAACTGCAGGAGCTTGTCCCAAACATGGACAAGGTAGGTTATCCATACCTATTTGTCTTTGTTTTCTCTTTTTTGGGCCAAGGTGGAACCTCACTAAGTTTATGATTCATTTTTTGGCAGCAAACTAACACAGCAGACATGTTAGATTTGGCTGTTGATTACATTAAAGACCTCCAAAAACAGTACAAGGTATTTATGGGAAGAACCTGGCATAATTCCAAACTCTCTGCTTTAATCAAATCGTGCGGCCCTTCCCCGGACCCTGCGTGAATACGGGATGTTTCATGCATCGGGCTGCCTACCCTAATAGCTTATTATTTGAGCTGTTACCTTGCATTCTAAGAAGAGTGTGATGGAGTCTTATGTGCTATGATTCAAAAGAACTTAAAGTTTTTTGACACAACTTAAATTTATATATGTGAATAATTCAAATTTTATAGCAAATACTAAATTATATATCCATAAGAACTTTAAAAGTTGAACCTATCAAGTTTTAATGTTCGATCTTTTTGAACTATTTTTTTCTCACACATTTATCTCATCATTTCCAGACTCTTACAGACTGCAGGGCAAACTGCAAATGCGCAGCAATGCAGAAGCAAGTTTCCAATCAAAGGGTTTGATTTTCTTCTGTGCATGGAGAAATAGTCTCTCTTTCTCCTTTTAAAAGAAGGAGAAATGGAAGAAACAAAGCTATGTTTCTGTTTAGCAGTTAGCAGGGGCAAAAGTGGTCAAGATACTAAACCAACAAAATTAGTGGGAAAGGCATAGTTTAGTTCATAACTATCTCTTTATACATGTATTCCTTTTTTCCCTTTTAAAGGGTAGCTCAGTGCACAAGATATTTCCTGTTCATGCAGGGTTCGGAAAAGGGTCGAGCGTGATTAATTACTATGAATTACCATAAGTGTCCACTTCTTTTCTCATATTTGTGTTAGATCCCTCTTCCCCATTTATGATCCATTTATTTATGGACCAGCCAATATGTGGATGGCTAAGTTTGTCAATGATTGCAAGTTGCACATATTCTTTAATATTATTATAGAGAATATGACTCAAAGCTCTAACTGCATTGGATGATCTTCGTATCACTTTCTTTATAATTGGAACCTTATCCAGTTGCCCTTTTATTATTTCAATGAGCACAAAATTCGGGTAATTTCTCTTCTTGCCTTCAAATTGTCCAATAAGAGAAACGGGATATATATATATATATATAACAACAACAATAACAACGACCAAGTGAAATCCCATTAGTGGGGTCTGGGGAGGCTAGTGTGTATACAGACCTTACTCCTACCCCGAAGGAGTAGAGAGACTGTTTCCGAAAGACCCTCGCCTCAAGAAACAAAAAGACAAAAGGGGACAATATCAGTAACAACGCAGAAATAATATGAAAAATAGGAACAACATGCAATCAAGAAGAAAAATACAAAGCAAAAGCGAAATACTATACCTACCAGACTAGACTCACAAACTCATGACATAAGGCAAGACTCAACTATATATATATATATATTCTGAGGAAGGTGTAGGTTGTAAAAGACGCATTGTGAATGAATCTACGGATCATTTGACTAAGTACTACAGAAGTTATGTGGTTGGTAACTACTGAGGTTTTGGATTTTTGCTACTTGACATAGAAAGGTTGATGAAAATGTGCTTTATGAGGTACTTGTATATATATGACTTCAAGTCATTTGAGTGAACGAGTTAGAGTTCACTAGCATGAAGATTCTTGCATTCTTGAGGTGTAGAGATCATTTTCTAGAGGCAGAAATCGCTTTTGATGCAGGCAGTGATAGTGAGTTAATGATGATATAGTTAGAGGTATGTGTATATGATCATGGGTAACTTGAGGAAATTGGTGCTTGATGATACACATGATCGTCAGTATTCGAAGTGGTCAAGGTATACCTAAATGTAGTAGAAATACATCTTACGATGGTCTTTTATGGTTGAAAAGTATGGTTCAAGAAGTTCTATGCGTTATTTCTTTATGTTGGAACAGTAATCAGGTGAAGTAAGGACTTCAGATACTTACCGATTTGAATATCTGATTCTTTTGAATTCTAGGATATCGTATTGAATCATGTGTGACTTGTGCTAACGAAGGAATAACGAAGTTGTGAATTTGTTACGTGATTTACAAACAAGCGAATTGATTTGCTTCAAAAATGGTAAATAAATAAAATTAAAAGTAAGTCTTAGCGATTAAGATTGAAGAAGATGGCAAGCCTGGCTCCGAGAAAAACGTCTCCGAGGATAGAAATAAGAACAATATAAAAAGCAAATAAGGTTGTTTTAATTGAGAGTGGAAGTGTAATACAACATAAGTTTTGCCAAGCATTTTCCTCCTTACAATGGCTGTTGAGCATACTATTTATAGCTATACCTAGAAAATTAAAATTCTAGGATCAAGCCCCTCTTAAATGACAATAAAGGAGCCATTGATGAATATGTAATGATAGACCACGAATGCAAATATTCTCTGCAACGGCTGCCCATTTAATGTTAGAGATATTCTTCATTGAACGATATCCGATGACAAACATTCGAACTGCTCCCGTTGACCAGGCTCCTACCGGGGTTTATCCGATACCAATTGCAGTTGTTGTTCCCGATACTGATTGTCACGTGATTCGCCTTTTACCTGTCTTCAGTTCCACGTAGCATGCTATCATTTGATCATTTATTATGGACCAATTTTACCCTATACATATAGTCCCCTGCTTTCCGGTGGCATATCTTTGTTTCACCGAGAAGTTGGTGAAGATCCCTTTCTTGGCGGGAAATCTTCTAAACAGTCTCTAACGCTTGAAAGCACGCACGTCTTCTCGCATTTAATACCCCGAATATGTGTTGTCCCACGATTCAGCAATATTTTTGCATGTTCTCGAGGTAATTATGACCACGATTTTTGCCGTCTATATATTTGCTTATACTCATCATTTTACCTCTTTCACTTTCAAAACCTTCATAAGTTTATCATCTTCTCTGCATTCAACTTCCTCCTGCTTAGAAAACTTTCATCTTCTCTAACTTTTTCTAAAAAACTTTACTATCTTTTTACTACCATGGCTTCTTCTACTGAATCTTTTAGAAACTCTGGTCTTCTCTTCGGTGGAGGCCCGAAGAGAAACAAAGACAAAGAGGCCGACGTTGATTCTGATCGTCCCACTATAAGTACCATCATACCCAAACACTTGAGCACCACCCATGACTTCTAAGAGAAGTTTCCATCCGTGTCCCCACGGACTTGGGCCATTAGCAGGTACCCTTCCTCTATTCTCCCTTTCTGTATTCCTGATGTGAAGGAGGACTGCAACTGTCCAAACCTTGGCATCCTTGCTCCGGATATGATAGAGTGGGTTACCTTTACTAAGGAAAGTTTTACGTATGTCTATATGTATCTCTCCAACTTGGGTTTGTTTTCCTTGGGGATGAGCGAATGTCTCGACCCCGTGATTTTAGAGTTTTGCCACCGGTACCAGGTCTGGTTGGCACAAGTAGGACCATCTATATGGCGAACGGTGTCTTGCCTATGCCAGTTGTGTCGGAGACTGGGAAAACCCTTACCGTGGCACATAAGATGAATCTCTACTCCCCCAAAATCTTCTGTGGGGGTGTAATAAATTTCAGCAAACGTGGCCACCACGCCTTCTTACCAGTGTGGATGATGATAGTGATCATGGATGGATGGAGCGGTTTGTCATTGTCTCTACCAGGGATATCATCCCGGCCACAACTCCATCTTTTCCCGAATCATGAAACCGCTCTCTTAAGTTTGTACTTTATTCATCTCGTTCTTTCGTAAAAATATCATTTTCCGTTAATATTGACCTTTTTGCTTCTGTTATTCTAGCTGCTCGGTGGGAACCACCACGGGTTCAAGGTCTGGCCAGTGGGTACAAAATATTCTGAATAGTATCACTCCAGAAACCCGTCGGTGGAAGGAAATGGCCCCCAAATATAGGTGGAAGGCCAAGAACCATGGTAAACCGAGTCCTTTTTTCTTTTGTCTCTGTATGAACATAAGTAACCTTTGCTAATTTGCGTTTTTCGCTTGATTCAGGACTCCCGTAGGGCTCTGTCACATGCCCCGAGGTTGATGTTTTGGCTGACCCCGCGAAGGATGCGAGGGTGCTACAAAGTGCCCTTGCTCGAAGCAGTGCCCACGGATTTGCTCCCGGTGGAGGTGCTTCCTCTTGGAATCCCCAGCCAGAGAACAAGCAACCAAAAAGGCGACGTTCTTCCTCGGTTGGGACTCAAAATAAGAAAATAAAGAAGGTCACGACCGAGCCGGCCACTGTCATAGTGGTCATTGAAGATGACAGGGAAGCTAGTGATGAAGAGGCTTCCCTTCAAAGGAGAAAACGATCTTCATTAGCACAACCGCATGCTCAATCGGGAGAGCTTCGAACCCCAACCGAAGGCGAGGTCCAAGAACTTTGGGGTGAAATGGAGATAGTAGAGGATGACGATTCTCGCTTTTCGACCCCTGTTGTTATTCCTGGTCCTAAGAGCTCAGACCCTGAGCCTTTACTGTCTTCGGTCACTAAGCCACCAATAATCAACGTTGCTCTCGTTGCAGCTGCTTCTCAACCTTCAACGCCAACAACTTCATGCCCCTCTACACCAGCTGCACCTTTACCACCGGCACCTACTGTATCTTGTCCATCGGCAACAGGTGCCTGAGAGAGGAATGTTTCTCCTCCCCGGTCTCCCGACCATGAGAATTTGGGTCACAATTACTCACCCTCTTCCCCAGATCCCCGAGGGAGGAGGAGTGCTGCTATTTTGGTCTCGAAGGAGTGCCATCTAGTGTCTAGGCCGGTGGAACTTGCCAACTACCTGAAGTCATTGGCTTCAGAAAGATAAGAAGAAAATACACTCCCTTTCGGGGGAGTGTTTGTTGAAAAACGCAATGCAAAATGCGGCAACGGTACTGTAGTTGCTTTTCTTATCATTTGTTTTCTTCTTTTCTGCAGTAATGAGATTTCTAACCTTGATATTCTTTGTAAAGGTCAACTTCCTTGCTTCCGAGGGCCTGCAAAAATTGATTCTCGATAAACAAGGACTTGCCTCCAAACGAGATCAATTGTTAGCCGAACGGGATCAACTTGTTACGCGCCTCCCGGTGTTGGAGATACAAGCTGTTGAGGCGGGCGAGCTTGAGGCTCGGTTGTAACAAAGCAAACAGGAAGTGATGGCCCACAGCCAAGAAGCCACGCAGTTACATGCACAGTCTCAAGAGGCTAAGGCTAAGTGGGACGAGCTCCAAGATGTTGTGCTTGCTGCTGCCGAGCGTGAGTCTGCCTATGTTGAAAAAGTGAATAACATGGAGGAAGACTTGATCTCTAAAACCGAGGAGTTTAATCCCGTCGAGGAGAAGAGGGCTATGATGGAGGAGAGATTTGAGAGGATCATAACCTAATTCATATATCCATAACTCGTGATCTTGATACTAGTCTCGGTGCTATGAGATCCGAGCGGGACGTCCTTCAGGCCGAGGTTGACAGACTTAAGGCAAGGCTTCAATATCAAGAGGATTCCCTCGTATTTGAGAAGGCGTATGCTATGTACCATATGAGGAGAAGAACCTTGGAAGAGGCCAAAGTGGGCATCGTCGATATTGATGATTTCATCGCCAAGGCCCGAGAACTGGAGCTAACTGCCCGAGAACGTCTTCCTGGTCAGCCTGCTACAACTGCCTCTTCGAGCACCGGTTCCGAGTATTCAGGAACCGAGGATGAAATTAAAGAAAATGATGATGAAGGTCCAGGCTCCGAATCAGCCGTTGATCCGCCATCTTCCACCTGAGGGGGGGGGGGGGGGGCACAAACCCTTGTCCCGGTAGTGATAATGCTTAGATTCCCTCTTCTTTTCTTTTGCTGTTTTCTTTTTTGTACCATTGTAATCATTCTAAACTCTTTACCGGGTTTGTCATATTGATATATGAAAACAATTTTTTCTTAAGTGGTGTGCAAGATACATTCCTTTTGCGTTGAATTAGTCAAAGTTTTGGGTATACTTT